TTCGTTCTGCAACTCCATTTTGAGGAGGTGTGTCAACACACGAAGTTTGATGAATAATGCCATGTTGAAGCATAAACGACTTAAATGTAGCAGATAGATATTCTTGGGCATTGTCTCCTCTTAACACCCGAACAGGAACGTTAAACTGAGTTTTAATTTCAGCACAAAAGGAAGAAAAATGAGTGAACAATTCAGATCGACGTTTCATGAAATACAGCCATGTCATACGAGAATAGTCATCAACAAAGGTAACAAAATATTTGAAACCAGCTTTAGACACAACCGGGCAAGCACCCCAAACATCAGAGTGAACAAGGTCAAATGGAGCATTTGCTCGTTTATTAACTCGCGGGCTTAAGCTAGTACGATGGTGTTTCGCAAATTGACATGACTCACATTGTAAAGAGGTCATCTTATTAAATTGGGGATTTATTTGCTTCATTAATGGGAGAGATGGATGTCCTAATCGGTAATGAGCATCTAACAAAGTCCCAACCCCAAGACACGAGATACCTTTTGTGATGGATGTATCCAAAATATAAAGACCAGCTGACTCATGTCCTTTACCAATAGTCTGCTTCGTTAACAGATCCTGAAACACACAATATCCAGGAAAAAATGTTACAGAACAATTAAGAGTACGCGTGATTTTACTGATGGAAAGTAGATTAAATGCAAAATTAGGAAGACTCAAAACAGGCGATAATGGTAATGTAGAAGTTGGAACAACAGTACCAGATCCAAGAACGGGTGAGGTAGATCCATCAGCTAAAGTGACACTAGAAGTGGGTAAATATGAATGGAATGAGGAGAATAGACTAGGATTACCGGTCATATGATCTGTGGCACCTGAGTCAATGACCCATTTTGAGGATGACGAAACAAGACATGTGTTTGAAATACCTGAATTCGTGGCTACCGAGATAGGGCCAGATGAATGCTTTAGAGATTCTTGGTAGCGAATAAATTTGGCATATTCATCCGAAGAAATAGCAACTGATCCATCAGATGAAGTGGTAGCGGAAGCAACATAAGCAATCAAATTTCCTTGATTTTTGAATGCCAACTTTCTACAATCTTTGAGCAAGTGTCCGGACTTCTTGCAGTAATTGCATATTACTCTTCTGTCAAATTGACCTGTACGAAACATTTTTTTTTTTCTCTTGTTTTTTTTTTTTTTTTTGTTTTTTTTTTTGTTTTGTTTTTTTTTTTTTTATTAAAAAAAAAAAAACTAGGAAAATAAAGGAATGTAATCTCACTTTTCTTTTAATGTCTTATATCCTCCATGTTCGCACAAAAGGTCAATAAGTAGAGGCTCGGTAAATAAGTCCTTACCAGAAGAGAGTGTGCGATCTGGCTGAGGATAAAAACCCTCTGCAAGTAAGGCTGGAAGAAGTTTGCGCACCCAGATTTCTGAAATTCGCTGCTTTGCCTAGTATCGTCTTTTTCTTCCGATGTCAGCTTATTGAAGAGCTGTGACGAATACTAAGCATCCCAAAGAGAAGCGACAACAGAAGATAGGCGATATGCAGGTCAGCCGGTCGGCACTCGGCAGTTGTCGACCGTGAATCTGGGCGGAGTGAACGTCACGCGCAGTTGTCGACCGTGAATCTGGATCGGCAGTTGTGAACGTCACTTTTAAATGGACAATATAATAAAGAGTTCCGGCAGCGCGTGTGGAGTATGGGCGTCAATTTTCTTCTCCGGATCTCAGGGGTTTGGTTTCCGGCGGCAAAGAAACTGTCTGAAAGTTTCGGTGATGACAATAGAGCTGAATGCTCTAATGATCGAAAACTGTAAAAGAATGAGCTGAAAGCTTAGGCCTGAACTTCTGAAGTTTCTGGATTTCTGAAATGCTCTAATAAATTTATGGAGTCTCTGAGAACAGAGGGGTTCTGGGAAGAGGTTCTGGGAAAAAATTCTAGGAAGATGTTCTGACTGAAATCAGTCTAGTGTTATGAATGACTAAACTGAAATCTGAAAAAGAAAAACTAAATTGAAATGGATGGCTCTGATACCATGTTGAAATATAAACTAAAATGATATTAAAGATGGAGAGAAAGATTTTCTGTGTATTTCATTGAAGGGTAAGGCCCTATAAATATAGATTACAAAGATAGAATATTCCTATAAAAGATGCTATACAATAATACTATATATGGTATATTCCTAATATATTCTAAAGCATATTCTAAAGTATATTCTAATATACTTTCACACCGAGCACCATACCGTGTCACCTGACCCTCTCTCGAGCCCAGACCATACCACCTCTAGCCGCACATCCAATTCTCTGCCAAGCCCTTCCCCGAGCCCACCTACTAGTACCGTACCCACTCCACCCGATAGTCCATCACCCAGCCCACCACCGGTCCAAAATATCCATCCGATGAGAACCCGAGCTAAAGACGGCATCTACAAGACTAAGTGTAAAATGGCGGGCGGCTATGGCTGAAGAGTTCAATGCTCTCATTGCTAATAAGACTTGGGATTTAGTACCTAGCGATAGCACCAAAAATGTGGTCGGATGTAAATGGGTTTATAAAACAAAATACAATTCTGATGGGTCTATAGAGCGTCACAAAGCTCGCTTAGTGGCTCAAGGTTATAATCAGCAGGCTGGGGTAGATTTTTCTGAAACTTTTAGTCCTGCTCAAACCTACTACTGTGTGTCTACTCTCTGTTGCGACTTCTTTTGGCTGGGGGTGCGTCAGTTAGATGTCAAAAATGCCTTTTTGCATGGTTATTTAACAGAGGAAGTTTATATGCATCAGCCACCGGGGTTTGTTCATCCATCCTTTCCTCATCACATTTGTCGTCTTCGTAAGGCATTGTATGGGCTCAAACAAGCTCCTCGTGCTTGGTTCCATCATTTCAGTGGCTTTCTTCTTAGTCATGGGTTGTAATGGTGGATCTGATTCTTCCATGTTTATTTATCACCGTGGCTCTCATCGTATATGTATTCTTTTGTATGTGGATGATATTCTCATTACAAGCATTTCTCCTTCTCTGGTTCAGTCTATTATTCACTTACTTTCTCAGACTTTTGCCATGAAAGATCTGGGAGATATTCATTTCGTTCTCGGGATTCAGACTGTGCGTAGCTCTACAGGTATTTTCCTTAAAAAAGTATATTTCTGATCTCTTGCGGCAATTTCATCTTCACACAGTCACAACAGTCCGCACACCTCTTCCCACTCGTACCACTTTATCTTTGACTGATGGGGAATTACTCACAGATGGTACTAAATATCACAGTATGGTAGGTGTTTTATAGTACTTGATTATTACTAGACCGGATATTACCTATGCTGTTCATTTGGTCTAACAGTTTATGCATGCTCCTCGCACTACTCACCTTTTAGCTGTGAAACGTATTTACAGGTACTTGCAGGGTACTATTACCGAGGGCCTATGGTTGCTTACTCTGATGCAGACTTGGCTGGTTGTCCTGATAGTTGTCGGTCCACTGCTGGGTATGCTATATTCTTGGGCAACAATTTAATTTCTTGGCGATCCAAAAAGCAACCTATGTCTCAAAACCCTCCACAGAGGCCGAATATAGAGTTGTGGCTTACACTGTTCAGGACACATTGTTTATTCGTTCTTTGCTTGCGGACATGGGATATTTTATTTCACAGCGCGTTCAGCTCTACTGTGATAATGTCTCAGCCTCATACCTTGCGGTTAATCCTATTCAGCATGATCGGAGCGAGCATATAAAGATTGACTACCATTTTGTTCGTGAGCGTGTGGCTCATGGTGATTTAGTTGTAAAATATATTCCTACTCAGTTTCAGTTAGCAGACATTTTTACTAAAAATCTGTCTAGTCAGCTTTTTAATTTTCTTAAGTCCAATATGTGTGTTGTTCCCGCTGCACAGATTGAGGGGGTGCAATAGATAATAATGTAGGGATACTCTTGTAATTACTTATTCTTGGATTATTATAAATACATGCATACGGCTACCTCTAGGGTAAGCCTTTTTCCTCATAATTCTCATAAAATGAACTGCAACAAGAGTGGCTTCAAGTATTATTTGTGTGTTTCAGTTTGTAATCAAGATCTCTATAATCATGCTTGCAATTTCGGATAGATTTACCTAAAGGCTATGTTTAAAGAACCGGACCAGGAAGTGACCCGGAGAGATGACTGGGTCACGGGTCAACCTGGACCCGGCGGGTCATCCCGGTCAATGACCCAAAACCTGGTCAACAACCCGAAACCCGGTCAACACCAATAATTATATATATATATATATATATACATACATATATATATATAAGTAATCTTCCGGTCAAGCCTTCTTGACCGGAACTGCCAGACGGACGGCTGCGTTTGGGGCCCTTCCCAGTGGAATTTTTTTATGAAACTTTTTTTTGCATGTTCTTCATTAAGTCTAGTTTCCACAGAAAAAGTTCAGCTAAAAATTCAATCGGGAAGGCATTCAAATAATTTGTGGAAAATAACTGCGCCAAAATATACATAAAAACACAGTTGTCTTCCAAAAATTATTTGGCTGTCTTCTCAATTGAATTTTTAGCTGAAATGTTGTGGATAAACTAGACTTGATGAATAACATGCCCAAAAAATTTCATCAAAAAAATTCTACCGGGAAGATCACCGGTTATTTCCGGGTTTAGATATATTAATGGTTTAGAGGTTAACCGGACCGGATGATTGACCGGGTGGCCGGGTTCCGGGTTCCGGGTTGAACCGCCCGGTCCGGTCCGGTTCTTTAAACATATAGCCTAACGGTGATATAGAAGTGATAAATAACAAAGATGAGACGAAAATTTTGCTCTAGATGATAGGTTTTGAAGGGCATGTAAATAGTTATTTTTTCATTTTCCTTTCCTTGTTCTTTTGGGTGTTTTTGGTTTCAAGAGAGTGGAGACAGGAGAGGGAAGGTGAAGAGAGTGGGAGAACTGAGAAGGGAGTGGAGACTGGGGATAAAATATCAGTCTCAGCTATATATACATTGACTAACAGATCATACCAGTTCCTGATACTTCTTGTCTAAATTACTGATATCTCCCCTAATTTCTTCTTCCCGGTTCTGCGCCATGCCAGTCTGCATTAATCAACAAGCTATCATGTAAATGAATAATAAAATAGCAGTGTATCTATTTTTATAATGCTAACAACATAGTTCAACAACCTACATCTGGTTCAGGGTAGATTCCAATATATTGGATCTCCAGGAGAAGTCTCTCATTTATTGACATTTTATTATACTGATATTCAGTAAAAAGAACATCAGACACCACTATTTCATCTGGCAATAGACCGCTCTGGGTAAGGTTACACTCTGATAAGAAATGTGACTCTCTAGCAGGTCTAATGCTACTATCCAGCGTAATATGGTCTGTCTCAACAAATGAATTTCCACTCGCATATTTCCTATAGCCATTAGAAGCAGGGTGTCTTGAACCACTGTTGTATATTGTTCTTGCATGAAATATGTCCGAATCTGAATCCATGTCTAGATCAAATGCAGGCTGGTAGGCAATGAACTTGGGATCTTCATTTCCACAGCAAGATAATTCTTCACCTGCTTCTTCAGGGATTAGCGCTGCCATCAGTCTCTGATATAAGGAGATCGGGGCAGGCTTAGTTGTTCCTGAAACTCCATGCTCTGCAAAAAAGTCAACACTTCCAACTTCATCCCCATCTCCATCGAACCCTTTCGGAAATATACTGAACTTGCTCGCCTCAGTAGATATTGGAGCTGGCGTAGCCACAGCATTTCTACCATTCATCTGGAGAAAGATACCAAACGAAGAAGATACATCAACCCAAATATAACCAATAAAGACCAAAATGTTAGATAGCTTAGTTAGATATTGATTTAGAGACATTCACGAGCACTAGTCATTTCATAAGTTGTTCTATTATTAATTATTAGATTCTCTGTGGGAAAATAGGGGTAAAGTCATGTTGTGTAGTTTATATAAGTGAAATCACATTTCCTGACTCCTGTTACCAAAAACTAATGAGAATAAGTCTTATGCGGAAATATTTAGAAATAACATATTGTCCCCATCTAGCTTACAGTATAATTTCAGTTGGTATGGGCTATGGAGAATAAGTGAAGTACAATTGGCTATAAGTTCAGTTGGTATGGGCTATGGAGATTAAGTGAAGTAAAATTGGCTATAATTTCAGTTAGTATGGGCTATGGAGATTAAGTGAAGTAAAATTGGCATAAACGTTTATCTTTGCTGCTATGGAGATTAAGTGAAGTAAAATTGGCTATAATTTCAGTTGGTATGGGCTATGGAGATCAAGTGAAGTAAAATTGGCATAAATGTTTATGTTTGCTGCCTAAAGTAATGTTTACAAAAGTACTTTAAGAGTAAGTTGTGATTCGAGAAAATTTAAAATCATAACTACTTCACAAGGTTCTATTGATTCAAAAGATGTTGAAAGTAGGACATGTGAAATGACGTTCTTGCTAGCAGCAATGCGTGAAATCTCATTATTCTGAGACATGTAAGCAATTTTCCCTATTCCGTTGCTTAAAGAATACAATGTAGAACTACTGCAAGGATGGTAGACACCATAAATGGACAACACAGAATATGCAAATTACCTGTTTATTCAAAAAAGTAATGTCCAAGTGCGATATAAAACGAAACAGATACTCCATCTCCTTCCAAAATGGGCTGGAAAGCGCTTGAGCTACATTAGCAAAATGTTAAATCAGAGCGTTAATAGACACTGTTTGACAAGGAAACGAAGACAATTTCAGTAACAAATTACCAGTGTTGGTAACATCACTTGCCGCAGCCAATAACTCATCTTGTCCATCATAGGAACCAACTATGAAAGGGGGGTAAACAGAATAATCAATAATAAAGTAATTACTTTCCTCTACATACATATCCAGTCCAGTTACTGAGTTACAAGCTGTGGTTACCTAGATAATTTGCTGCAGCATTAACTGTTGAATGTTTCTGACGTTTATAAGCCTTACGATCAGAGAGCTTCCTTGTGGGAGGGCGACCTGCTTTGCTGCAGGAATAGGTCCCATAAAATCATATGATCCACTCTACCAATGAGTGACACTCACAATTCACAGATACTCATCACCATCATTGCCTTAACCCCAAATATGTTGAGAATAAAGGCATGAAGCTTATTCAAATAATTGTCTATAATTAAATAAAACTATTATTTCATGCATAAGAACAGTGACAAAGTTTTAAGCTGGGAGTCATTTCTGTTTCAACCTTCTAAACCGTCATTGTCATAGACTTTTCCACTTGCACAGAAAATATCATAAGATGACTAAACTCATGTCCCACTGCACATACTAGAAACAAACCATGTAGGGTAATAAGATAATGTCCTAACCTCTCAGTTTTATCTAAGTTATTTCTAGAGCTCCTCAGTTGTTTAGCTGTTCCCAAATTCCCAAGCTTTTCTACAGTTGAAGGCATGAAGGACCCACTGGAAGTCAAACTACGACTGGACCTCCCTTGCCTACGTACACCATCGCTATGCTCATCACTGCCTACCAACTTATTTTTTCTTGGTGGTAGTAGCAAAGTTGACATCTTTTGGACATCAAACCCAATTTTTCCATCCACTTCTTCAGACTTCTTGCTCTTATCTTTTGGCTTGGTTTCAGCAATACCAGACTCCTCACTTTCAGACGCAGCTGACAAGTTGTCACTTTTAAACTTAAGACACTGAGGAGAAGAGCCAGACAATCGCCTATCATTACACACCACTGCCTCAGTCGAATTATCTGGGGCAAAAGTTTCACCATCGTTGGAAACAATGGGAAAATGTGTTCGCCTCGCTGTTCGGGAGCTTTTCTGGGGCCGCTGGCTGGCCCACTGACCCACAGGTGGTGATGGGGACCTTCCTGAAGCCGTGCGCTTACGGTTAGTTACCGCGGAAGTCGAAGGTAGTTTGTTTGTACAATGAGAAACCTCCCAATCATTAGCAACTGCAGCACGTTGAACCGTGGGGCCCATTTTTTGAGCCACGCATGCACCAGATCGTGGGGCCCGTGCAGCACCATTCAACTTTGCACTAGAGGTAGGGCTTCCTGAGCTTAGTTCTTCCCGAGCAGTTGTCTTGGAGGCACTGGATAAAAAAATTATATTGAAAATCACAGAGATTCATAAGCAAATGCAATATATAACATTAAATTTTAAATGAACCCCAAAGGAGGCTTCACTAAATTAGAGAACATTCACTAATTGCAAACGATTCAAGTAAAAATAAATGATCTATTCTTCCCATACTTGTTGACAGTTCTAACATTTATTCTTTCTTTCTCTGAACCAATTGAACGGTCTCTTCTATCATGGAGATGACCATTATCCTGTTCAGCCTTGGAGAATGAAGAACGCATAACAACAGAAGCTTGTGGAGATGTTGCATCAGCTTTTCCCAGTCCAATGCCCCCTGTATTAGTTCCATTCCTACATTCAGATTACAAGAGACCACATATATAAAATGAAAGTATCTGTATCTATAAGAAAGATTAGGAGACATACTTCATGTTTCTAAATAAGAAGTTGAATAGCATACAAGTTCACAACAATCACAAGGACTCAGATTCATTTCTCACCCCCACAAGTTCAAAGTATGCCATTGTGATAGAACTCTCCAGAAAATACACCAATTACAGGAAATAATATCAAGAAACAATTGAAAATCTTTATTGAAGATGAACAGTAACAGTAACAATGGCCGAAGCCCCCAATAGCCGAAGCCCCCAATAGCCGAAGCCCCAAAAGATAGAGAGGATTAATCTCAAATTGGACACTGGTTTCATCAGAATCTCATATTTGACACTAAGGTTTTAAATGGACCAAATTAGACACTATGGTTTCATATGTATCTCATATTGGACACTAAAGTTTCATAATTCAATATAAGTGAGTGTCCAATTAGATCTTTATCCAATATAAGTGAGTGTCCAAAACCTATGAATTATGAAACTTTAGTGTCCAATATGAGATACATATGAAACCATAGTGTCTAATTTGATCCATTGAAACCTTAGTGTCAAATATGAGATTCTGATTAAACCATAGTGTCCAATTTGAGTCTTATCCCATCTCTAATCTTTCCCAGTCCCAAGACAGAATGTCCAAAAGCCTCCTTACTAACTCCTCCTTCCCCTTCTATTTATACTAGAATACTCACAGACCCTTATTACTAATATTATTATTATTACTTCTATTATTAGTCTAATAAGTCGGTTCCTATCAATACTCCCTCCCTAAACAACCACCTTGTCCTCAAGGTGGGATGATAGGAACCAAGTCTGGAATTCCTCTTCCTCCTGGTGCCTCTCCCCCTCCCAGTACCTCGCTGATGGTGGTATAAGAAGTTCCCAGACCTCTGGATGAGAAACTATTGACCATGCTCAGCATTGCATGTCCCTCAGACTCCATCCTATCTCTTGAGTGAAACTTCTCACTAAATAGCTTGTACAGAACTTCATCCACACATGTCAAAAGAAAGTTTATGAGAACGTGCGTCATACTGTGTTCCTCTTTTTCAATTTAAGACTTCAACAATCTCCAATGGTATTATCCCATCATGAAACAGAAGTAGCATTGGCCCTTAAGAACATGCTTATCTGGGGCTGTTCTGTCCCAGATAACTTCCTGACACTTCAGAAGATCTTGCCAGAGAATGGACCTGAGTACCATAGAGTATTTCTAAAAAATTTGGTGAAACAACTTCACCTAGAGCTTGTTGATAACTCTTAAGAGCCATCTTATGTAATACTCTTGTGAAGATGTCAAAAACATCAGGAAGCGATAGGCTAAGAACAGTCTTTGTAGTAATGCCTCCCAATTTTAGATATCCTTCTAATGCTTTCAATGGGTTATGTAGGCCAAGCTTGGGGCAGCTTCTCATGCCCTCAACAATTGGCTGCAATTCTATCCCTTGAACTTCTGATAAGTTTTTAACACTTAAGGTTGCAAGTTGCAATGGATTTCTGCCAAGATGTTGGAAATGACTAGACTTGTCAGCATCATGAATCGGTTTGTGGTTTCCAAGAATGATAGCAGATTCTCCTGAAACAAGCCCAACCTCCTCCTCCTGAGCCTCTGTACCAGATCGATTTTTACCAATGCATAATTTTTCTGAAAACCTTTCCTTTGGTTGTAAAGATAGTTAACTCTTGACAAGAACAGTTTCAGAAGCAATTAGGGCTCTATTTCCAAAAGAACATGGTTGAATAAGCTTGTCAGCAATAGAAACTTGGCTGGGAATTAAATCCACATCCTCTGCGAGATTAGAGGAAACATAATCTGGCCATTGAATATGTCTTTTCTCCTTGATTTTGTCTTTCTCATTCACTTGCTTGATTACAGGTTCACATCTGGGTCTTCTTTGTTGACTGGGAAATTTCTAGCACTGGGTGAGAAACTTTTGAACGAGAAGTTCTTGGCGGCCGCGATGACTCCTGTTGTGTTGTCTTCCTGTCTTCTGCCGGCGTCTAGGTGGGAAACACCTAATCAAGTCTTCCTTTAGAGCCTTCCAACTATCTTCTCTCTTTTGAGATTCTCACCATTGAAACCAGCCACATGCGGCTTCCCCCAAAGCCTCTGCTGGGACGTCAACCTTAAATTTTTCTGCAATAGCTTGGACTCAGAAATATCTTTTCATCCTCTCTATCCATTCGTTCGCTTCATCCTCGTGGAATAGAGGTAATTCCTCCGTCTTTGAACTAGCTGAATTCCGAGAAGCGACTTTAGACGAAGAATGCGAACAGTGAAAACCCTTTGGTGAAGAAGAAGATTCTCTTTTCAATAGTGTCTTTCTTGAATGTGAACTGATGGCCGTTGAGGAAGTTTGCGAACTCTGATGCGAAGAGCGATGATAAGAGTGATGCGAAGAACTCTGCGAAGAGCGATGGGAAAAACTTTCCGAAGAGCGATGCGAAGAACGATTTGAATGGTGCGAAGTGTGCGACGTATGCGATTTGTTTCGCTAGCGACTCGGGACTTTATTCTCCAGCTTTGCGATGTCCGCCTTTATGACTGCCAAGGTCGTTGCCATAGTCGCCATTGTTGCCGATGTTTCTTTTTGTTTTCTTTCCAGTTTGTTAATTCTTCCTTCCATCCTGGCACGCCTAAATCATCCAGCGATCAAAACGTGCTCTGATACCAATGATAGAACTCTCCAGAAAATACAGCAATTACAGGAAATAATATCAAGAAACAATTGAAAATCTTTATTGAAGATGAACAGTAACAATAACAATGGCCGAAGCCCCCAATGGCCGAAGCCCCCAAAAGATAGAGAGGATTAATCTCTAATCTTTCCCAGTCCCAAGACAGAATGTCCAAAAGCCTCCTTACTAACTCCCCATTCCCGTCTATTTAAACTAGAATACTCACAGACCCATATTATTATTATTATTATTATTATTATTATTATTATTATTATTATTATTATTATTACTTCTATTATTAGTTTAATAAGTCGGTTCCTATCACATTGTCAAGATTGAACTTTACTATTCTATACATAAATGACTAAGAGCCCGTTTGGTGACTCTGATTTTCGAGTTGTCAAGCTTATCAGCCAACTTTTTAATCAAACACGTAACTTTTGATTTCGCTTGCTGAATTGTGTAATAATAATAAAAAAGTATGGTTGGGGTTACTTTTTTGGCTGTATTGGCTGAAGTTATTGTAGATGACCATTTTAGCAATTTTTTCATCTAATTTTTTTCTTTGTTTTATTAATAGAATATATTTTAAAAATAATTTATTCATAAATCAGCAGAATCAGCCAATACAGCCTCTTCAGCCAGAACTTCAAAAATTTAAGCAGAATCAGCCGATTTCAGTGTTACCAAACGGGCTCTAAATCACCAATGGTTATCTCCTTAAAAAGAGCTCTGGATCAAAATATAAAGCTACTACCATCCCAATTTTATCAAGTCCAAGACATCACGCAGGAAAACCATTCTTGGCAGGCAGGGAAGAATTTGATATGGGTGGAGTCTCATGCTAGAGCCGCATGAAAGGACGAGGAAGGCATATATTATTATCGTTGTTATTAGTAGTGGTATTATTACTAGTTTCCTTTAGGGAAAAATAATTCAAATACTCCAAACTTTAAAGGAGTGTGAGGTCAACACCCCAAATTTGAATGTGTAATTTAAATACTCCAAACTTTACATAAAAAGTTTTTTTAGCACTATGGTCATATGTTGTTTTTTCAAAAATGTAAATTTATTGCATTAATTACATAATTTAAAATGTTTTTATTTCACTTATTAAGCGTTACAATTATATAGACGGATGGTACGTAATAATATTATTCACAATGAAGATATAATATTAATTATATCTTCATGAATGCAAAAATATTTTAAATTATGCAATTAACAGCTTGAGTTTACATTTTTGAAAGAAATGATATATAACCATGGTGCTAACCCTATAGTTGCAAGTAAATAAATATGGAAGGGGTATTGTTGAGCTATTACTTGATAGGAACCTCCAGAATTCCAGAACAAATTATAGAAAGAGAACAAGAAATCAAACTGCTTTTATTAGAGAAGAAGATGAACAGTACAGAAATCCAAAGCCGAAGCCCCCAATTGAATTGAAGCCCCCCGAAGAAAGAGAATAGCTCTCGATCTTCCTAAGTCCCAGACTATACGTCCAAAAGCCCCCTCCTACTACTCCCCCTTCCCGTCTATTTATAATAGAGACCCTTATTACTAATATTATTATTAGTACTTCTATTATTAGTATAACACTAATAGGTAGGTCCCTAACAATACTCTCCCCTAAACATCCACCTTGCCCTCAAGGTGGGCGGTAGGAGACAACCAAAATCTTCTCTTTCTTCTTCTTCCTTGCACCTCTTCCTTCCCAATATCTTTCAAATTTCAGGATCCTGAACTCCATGACTTGAACCTTCCTTCTTACTGCTTCCTGCAAAAACAGCATTAGCTCCTCTTCCTTCCAGTCATCAATCAATATTAGTTCTGTGTCTTTGATCTTGCTGGTACTGATCTTCACCCATCATCCCGTGCTCATTCTTCCATATGTTAATAGCTCTTGCTACAGGGTATAACTCAAATCTTTGAGTTTCAGTTGCTTCACTCCTTGAAATTTCAGCATCTTCAGTAGCCAACTTATTTGAGAAGGAAAACCTCAGAGTTTTTAGCAGGTAAGTAAGGATACCCCTTATTCCAGTTGCAGTTCTCCTAACCAAGGAAAAGGAAAGATTATTTCCCATGTAAGACTTCCAAAATTGGCGTCCCAGCAGGTAAGCAGATTCTTCACCATAAGAAAACATTGCCATTTTCAAGCCTTGTTTCACCTTCACCTTTTCATTAGCTTCAATATTTTGTTCCACATAACTTCATGCCGTTTTCTCAATGAAACCTGTAATTCTGAACTCTCCTGCCCCAATTGGAATAATGGTATACGTT